GTCATATATACGGCTTGCGTGGGGCATTGATTTCCGTTTCTATAACTTCAGCCAGGAATGGTTTATTTTTTGAAAGCGATATTTAGGAAATATTTAAAGCTACAGCTAAAACAGAACTGTAGCAGGCATTATTAGAGTAAACTTCTTAATTTTCAGAAGGTTGAAAGGCAAATCGTCACATCAGGATTCGAATCTTAATGTCTAGACCGTGAATTCGACGCCCTACCGACTCAGCTACTCTGTGCCGTTGGAGGAGCTGTTCCATTAATGTACAAAATTTCCATCACATTGCAGAACACTGGCACATTTTCTGGACAGCTTCAATGCCACCACCCAGTAGTGATTAATTACTCCGTTTAATTGGCAAAGGTCAGAGTGCTGTAAGCGATTACAGACACAGAAACCAATACTATCAACTGTAATAGCATTGGACTAGTCATAGATAAGTTTTCAGAGTCCTGATCGAAATTTTCAGCCGCATGCTTTTCTCATGCTCGGTTTAGACCAGTTAGGACAAAGGCTATGAGCAGCAAATAGCACGAAGTAAAGTGATGAGTGAAGAATTGCGGTACAGAGCATTACATTGGCTGCACTTAGCAAGTTTCCTTATTGTGAAACTTTACGCATTTTTAATGCTTTCAGACAAAAAAGTTATTCAGTAAAGCACTAAAAGTAAATATCTCTACAAAACAGTTAACTGTGATGCATTGGCTTAATTTTCAGGGGCTACGCATTTCTCTGGCAATAGAGCATTGGTGTCAATCTTGCTACTTTTAAGAAAAACGCTTAGGGTCGTTAATCAACCTACATACGCCAGCATGGCCAGCGGGCGATGTCACCTGGCATTTCGTTGTCTCTATGTCATAGGTGATGCATAGATTTAAGAAACCGTTCTTACGCATTAACGGCCAAGCGAGTCATCGCGTATTTTGTGTTGCAGAGAACTATGCCGCTGTTTTACAAACCCATTTTCTTCTTATGTTGAACAGCGTGCGACTTAGCAATTGAATCGCGAGTGCCTTATTAACGTATTTGTTGACCGTTCTTGAACTATTCCTCATATGTCCAGAATGTTCAAAGAAGGCTAAGTAAATTATCTGTCGTGCTACTTTCTGAGTTGTCACCAAAAACTGCTCGGTTTTATCTGTTAAGTGGTTGTGACGAAAACCCTTTCGATCGTTTAGTGGAAAGGTGAACAATACTAAATTAAATTAGCTACCACAATGCTACGTAGCATTTGAAACCGTATCATCATACCAAAATGAGTTGACACTGCCCAATAGATTGATGACGTCATTCCATGCTACGCTGAGAAGAGCTTGTTCTCTTGCCTTTTGAGGTTCTTTTAAGCACAAGCAAATGAATGGAAGGGTATCGTCCTATTTATCCAACAGACGCAATGAAATCACTTCAATACGCTGTCTGTCCCTTCAACAGAGAATAACAGCCGATGACGTTACTCACAGAAAATACTGGGATCACGCCAGGGAATGGCGCCTAGAAATGGAGACAAACAAGCATCATTCTTTCTCTCTCTCTGGATCGTTCAAGGCTGTGATACGTGTCGCTGCAGTTTGCACTATGTCATTTCACAAACACGAGAATTATCTCTATTGCTGCTATGAATATCAGCAAGATGAATGCACATTAATTCCAGTGGTTTTGATAGCTTCAGTCATCTCTGAAGACGAATCGAGCATGATCCGAAACGTTGCAGAACTTGTACATAATAAATTTTGTATGCGGAGTAATCCCGTAGAGTATTTGTCGAGTATATATATGAACATATATTGGAATTCTTCGATAATATGCATACCTATTGACATCAGAGTTACTGAGTTTTAGTTATTTCAGAACGTCATCAGTCCAGTCCGGCAGTGTCCCCCACCACGTGTATAAATTTGCTGCTATTTTGCGAAATTTTCGTCGTGCCTGTTACCATAACGTAATTTTGCGGCCATCGTCAACTCCTACTTTTTGAACCCCTCAACAAAGTGAAACAAAGTCACAGTGAATGTCAATCATTCTCATTTATTACTTTAGGTAGATTCGTCGTCCAGAATGAAACTGGACAAGCTGTGAACATCAACGAAATGTATCAGCATAATATGAAGGTAATTACAAAAACGGCAGAAAGCGTCTCGGAACCACGACGGCGCAGATCGACTGTTAAACTACGAAGCAAACGACGAAATCTTGAAGTAACGCAACAGTTCAAAAATCAAAAATCGAATATGTGGAACTGTGCAAAACCTTGAGGAGGTGAATTAATGTCGTGTGTCCATTCAACTGCAGGTTCGTAAAGGAGACTATTGCAGACTTCAGAACATAAGACAATTAAATCGACGATTCACGGCCAGAAAGCGATTTATTGCAGCTCTCAAAGATGCAGACAGATAAAAGATTCTAAAACGAGCTGAAGATTTCTATTGGAAACCGTACAAGGATGAAGTCGGCAATACCCTTGGTGAGGGAATCTCAGGATGCAGTCAAAGTTGACGAAACTCCAGATATATTGTCAAAAGAAGTGCAACATGCAATAAATCAGGTGAAGCGAGGAGAGGATTCTTGCGAAGATGGCATTA